GGTGCAGTAAAACTACTTAACCCTAGCAGTGAAACGAGCCATGTCAACTGGATTCAAGTAAAGCAATATGCCTGTCATGAGGATGAAAATGGTCAGGTGCAGAGTGGACGGTTTGACTCGCCATTGCTAAAGAAAACAGACAACATAGTCATCATCAAGTCTTCGGAAGTATGCCACAAAGTGAATATTGTCCATAACTGTATTAATGGGCATTGTAAATTTGAAGATGCCCATCACACCTTTGTTGAGGAACGTGAAGGAGTTGTACGAGATGCACTGATTTACAAGCATGACTTTGCCAACAACACATACCTTCTCAACAGGTTTTACCTTGGTAATGATTTTGAAGCTGTATTACAAACCTTTTGATAAACGAGTCGTAAATATACATTTGATTGCAAGACATGCTCTACACAATGCCAGGGACCATATAAAATTGTGTATAAACATGGCTGTGTATTATAAACATGTGCTTTGTCTTGATTAGATCATATTTCAACAAACAATATAAAATATTAATAATATTATTTGAACATTTAAGATATATGTTGGAGGTATTATAAAGCACGAGGCTGTAAAATCCGAGAATTTGACGAGGATGTAAAAGATAAAACAAATGTTTCTCGACATTTCGAGCTAAAGGGTTTGTTTTATCTTCTACAGAATTAATACAGCCTCATGAAGTCAACTGTTCGTATTTTACAAAACCCAAGGCCTACGCTAACCCTTATATTGTTAGAGGTATTAACCTTTTCCAGTTTTCCTTTTTCCATATAAATGCCCACTTGATTTTCATTTCATTTGCACTGTAGCGTGCGTCGTTCTTGTAAATTATCTTCCAACACGAAGCATGAGTTTTACTATACATACAAGTAAATGTTTACCGACATTTAATATTCGACAAATCTGTAAATTTGAGTATATACGATGGATTGTATCGACCTTATGTTGCACTTTAGACGAGATATTGATTTCTTGTCTGCTTTCACCGACAAATAATAAGATTTTGCCAGATAAAATATAAATTTCTAACCTTGCTTTGCATTGTATTTTTCCACTGATTTTGTGATATTCACCATTGCGCGAAAACACGCGAGATAACGCGTGTTTCGTGTTGCCATGCCAACTGCAGACTTGCTACGACTTGTTCGCGACAACTTGCATCAAGTCTGTTGACGACAACTTGCATCAAGTTTGCTCGCGACAACTTGCATCAAGTCTGTTGACGACAACTTGCATCAAGTCTGTTGACAACAACTTGCATCAAGTCTGTTGACAACAACTTGCATCAAGTCTGTTCGTGACAACTTGCATCAAGTCTGTTCGTGACAACTTGCATCAAGTCTGTTCGTGACAACTTGCATCAAGTCTGTTCGTGACAACTTGCATCAAGTTTGTTGACGACAACTTGCATCAAGTCTGTTGATGACAACTTGCAACAAGCTTGTTGACAACTTGGAACAGACTTGTTGTCAACAAGCTGTTGCAAGCCATGCGAACGCATCCTGATATCGGCTTGTTGATAACAAGTCTGTTCCAAGTTGTCAACAAGCTTGTTGCAACTTGCGCGTTTCTGGCTGTGTATAAATAAACTGGAAGGCTAACTGCTATGATGAAGGCCTATGATTTGATGAAGCCAAAATAGTTTTTCTGAGTTATGAGCAGAAATACTTGACTCCAAACGTCGGGCAATATATCAAATTGAAGCTATTGAAAATTGCTATTCGGTGTGGAAATTTCAAGACTTCAGCGAAAAGAAAAATATTTTAAAAATACAAAAACAACTGCAAAACGGCAAATTATCGGTAATTATGTTTGTAGTTTTTCAATATTTCCCTTTTAGCTAAAGTCTTGAAATTTCTACACCAAATAGCGTTTTTCAATAGCTTCAATTTGATATATAGCCCAACGTTCAATTTTGAGTATTTCTGCTCATAACTCAGAAAAACTAAAATGCACTGGCTTCAATTTCCCCCCCTGAGTTAGCCTTCCAGTTTATTTATAGTTCAATGGGCAGCACACTATTCTTGACACGCGGTGGTTTCTCCAGAGTCCACTCGACCCAGTCTTTCGCGCGAGTTATGTATTGTCGAGATCGAGATCTTGTGTCTGTCTGTCTGTAAAGATGTTTGTCGTAATCCGGGGGGAATAATTAAGCTTCAGGAACGTTTGTTAAATGAGGGGAGCGGTCAAAACACGAAGATTTTCAAGCTTTTAAATACGGATCACAAGACAGCAAGAGATCAAAAATATTCGGAAACATTCAGGTAAGTTCGGCTCTATTTTTTTCTTGTTATATACATCAGGCAATGACATTTTTAGTGTTCAATCTAGAGGCAAACAATGTGCTTTTATGAGTTTATCAGCACTTTTAACTGCCCAAAATATACCACTGATCGATTGGTCAAAAACAACATTTAATCGTCTTATTACAAGGAGACAAAATGTACTTGCAAGCTCTCGATAATGGCTTTGTTGTCTTAGAAACTGCCCAAAATATACCACTGATCGATTGGTCAAAAACAACATTTATAAATAATGTCTTATTTATACAAGTCCTGAGACAAAATGTACTTGTAAGCTCTGTCTTAGAACCTGCTGTCGAATTCTTATCTGTCGATAATTTACCTAAACTTGTCAGTGTTTCAAGTTGTATACAAACATGTTTCTTACAAGATATGTGATTCTGTGATCGACACAAGAAATATACCACATGTAGTGTATGCAAAAACAACTATAACGCCTGTGAATCCTTTTGATACACAAAATAATGATACTATAAACAGTCTGCCCATGGTGGTAGGACAAAATAATAACATTCTATATCCATTGTAGTAGAGTCCATTGAGGCAAAAATATCATGGATCTGCCTATTGTGGTAGAGCCCATTCAAGGCAAAAACTATAGATCTGCCCATTGTGCCAATGTGGTAGAGCCCATTGAGGCAAAAACTATAGATCTGCCCATTGTGGTAGAGGCCATTGAGACAAAAACTATATATCTGTCCATTGTGGTATCTAGTGCCCATTGAGGCAAAAACCATTGATCTGCCTGTGGTCTAGCCCATTGAGGCACCAACTATCAGCGATCTGCCCCAGAGAATCGATAATAGCGGGCAGATATTCATATATTCGTGTTCACAGACTGTAAAAACAATCGACTTCAAAAGAAATTAATTGGGCAGAACACGAATATATGAATATCTGCCCTCCCCCCAATTATCGATATTCCGGCGCCTCTGATCTGCCCATTGCGATGGAGCCCATTGAGGCACCAACTATCAGACTAGGGGTCAGCCAGGGGGGGGGGGTCGTAGTATCCTAAAGAGCTGATAAATATGGATCAAAATACCTATTATTATGGTCAAAATGTTACATAATACCTAAAGCAATCAGAAGCTGTATACCAGACCTAATACCCCAAATTAGTCATAACATTTAAAGTAAATATACAGTATACTCGAATTAAGTACCATTGGACCCTATATACAGTACACAAAACCCTATGGCCGACCCTACAGACTGCTCTGCCCATTGTGGTGGAGCCCATTGAGGCACCAACTATCAGTGATCTGCCATTATGTGCAAAGGCAATGAGTTTGTAGTGTTCCATTTCTAGATGTTTATAGCTTTAAACAAATGTTGTCTGCACATATATTGACTTACAGCAATTACATGTAATATTACTAACATTTTAACTGACTTTTGTATAAGATCTGAGATATGTCCATTGTTAGCATAATATGAAATAATTCTAGTGGCCTACATATGGCTGTGTCACTACGATAATGCTCACAATTTCTTTCTTATCATATATTTTTGCAGTTCTGACTGAGAACAATCTTAATCATGTCAATGAATGGTGTCATCTGAAGCATATTAAACAGAAATGTCAGCAAATACATTTTGTCTACCCATCGGCAGATTGTTCGGTTGGTCTGTGAAGGGGAAGCCATGAAGGTGGCATTACATGTAAAACGATAATTGGAACAAAAACCGACTTTATAGTATTTTTATATAAACATTGTTCTGTATTCAGTGGCAAACTCACACATGTGATCACCAAGTTTATACTTTATAGTGCACTTTTTATAAGATGAGATGTAAGATACAATCAGGGACGCCGGAACTGGGGGGGGGCAGGAAGGGCAGCCGCCCCCGTTGCCCTTTACCAGGAGGGGCAAGGGAGGCAAAGGTGTCCTTTCAATTTAAAGGATTGCCTTGGCAAAATAGCAAATTGTCAGAAATGTTAGTGCAATTCTTTTACTAATTTGCTTCAGAAAACGCAAGAAATACAGTCATCGAGCTTCAAGAATAGCATAATCGCCTGGCAGAGAACCCCCTCACACCCCTATCATCCAATATATAGAAAACATGATTAGGTGAAGTTCAACTCCCGATGTTTTGCAAACATCTCTTAGTATATATCAATTCAAAAGTGCCCTTTCACCAAAATCTGCCACCCTTGCCTTCACATCGTTCCGGCGTCCCTGGATACAATTGTAGAAGGTAATTGATGTAGAACATGTGTAAGACATTAAATCATACATACAGTGAAAAAGACACTTTTTGGTTGTAGTACATCCTGCATGTACATATCGGCAGCATTTTACTTGCGATAGTAACTCCTAGTTTATTTCTATTGTCAGCTGGGAGGTAAACACGCAATAAAAAGTTTTCTTTATTAAACAGTTGAGTAGAGATATTTACTATGAAAAGTTGCCGATTTTTATGGCGAATTCAATCGTGTTCTCCGATTTCCCATCTACTGTGTACACAAATTCCTATAGTAGGATAAAGACTCGAGTTTTAGAGTATTAAAGGGCGAATATCTCCGTTCAGTTTTTCAATGAAAAAGGAAAACTAGGGCTGTTTATACAGAATTTCATGCGGAATCGAAGGGTATTTTCGGAATTTCCAGCTACCGTGCACACAACTATGTGCTCACTATACGAAAGTAAATTTGCGTGCCAGAGACCAAGTGTCGATTAATGCATACAAATCACTGTGAAAAATGTCGATACGCGAGATGTTGTTATTTTGTATTTTCGGCCGGTTTATTTTCCTTTATATGATATCAAAAGCTATATTAAATCATTATAATATGATTATTTATGATTTAAAAGCATTAAAAGTGTATTTATTGTAATTTTTGCTGCTGTAAACTAGCTTTATTATGACCATTTTTAATAGACTATTTATAAAGTGGCAATGAGCGAGCGACAATTATCCAATCAAAATCCACTATTTTAATTTTCCCGCGAATACGTTTGTTTTGATTACATCATTCATGGTTGATCATAGAGATTATAAATAACACTAGAGGAGGCATCGAGTTTAAAAATTGGGAACGCAGCTAATGGGGGGCAAATTCAAGTCCCGGATATAAAATCGTGCTCTCATTGGCTGATTTGAAACTCGTCACCAATGGGAACACGAATACACATCCGGGACTTGAATTTGCCCCCCAATAGTCGCGTTCCCTTTTTTTTACTGAATTAAGATTACAATGCCTCCTCTAGTGTTATTTATAATCTCTATGTGGTTGATACTATGACATCATAACTGAGACCCAGGTCATTGCGCGCAATTCAAGATGGCGTCGGGCAAATGTGCATTCCTCGATTTAGCCGCATGTCAATGGCGTCAGATCCGCCATGTTTTTGGCTTCACTTTTTTTTCCCGAGCAGGTCCTCCAGTAATATAGTATAGCTCAGTGGTTTTACTACGCCCTGGACCAATACACAAGTTAGTACCGCTGTTTCAAGAAAACTGATGGAACAGTGTTAGTTGAACAGTTAGTTTAGACACGCACTCTACGCAGTGCGGGGAGGGGGGATGTTGTTAAGATAACTGTATTTTGTAGTTAATTCGTAGTTGACATTTCATGGTTGACATTTCGAAACAGTAAACTTGGGCAACTTATGTCCAATGAGGGGTTGCTGGGCAACGGGTTTTAAGGACGTTCGAAAAACGTTGTTCGTGAGATTTTATGAGGGAAATATTACTTTTATTATTGTTCTTTTCGTTTATTTTTGTTAAATTAAAGTTTATAAAAAGAATTTCGAGTCTTGAGAACAACTGTTAAATTACATTTGTCGAGAATATAAGCCATCCGTCCGTCCGTATCCGCGTTTTATTGCTGCCGAAGGCAGTACACTATTCTTAACATGAAGTATCGCGTTTACTTGTGTGCAGTCTCTTTGCCCGAGCTACACGGGTAAAAATTGATCAGGTTGTTCGCCTGTTCGGCGTTGTTCAAACAGTAGCGAACAATGTTGTGCTGCACCCCGTGAACAATATTGTTAACAAGTTGTTCAACCATCAGTGCTGTTGCAAGTTGTTAACATGATTGTCAACAAGTTGCAACAATGTTGATGGTTCAACAACTTGTTAACAATATTGTTCACGGGGTGCAGCACAACATTGTTCGCTCCTGTTTTGAACAACTTGCATCAACATGATGATTTTTACGCGTGTATTATGTATTGTCGAGATCTCGATTTTGTGTCTGTCTGTCTGTATGTAAAGATGTCGTAATTCCGGGGAAATAATTAAGGCTTCAGGAAGTTTTTTTAAACGAGGGGGGTGGTTTACTTTGTATATTTACACACGGATCAAGTTCTTCTCAAAGTTCTCAAGGACAGTTATGAGCTTATTTTCATGATGCAAAACATGGACAATATTTTCAATAATTCAGGTAAGGGTAGCTTTATTTCTTTTTGGTAATATACATGAAGGCATTTATGTTTAGAACACTATGATTTCATGAATTTAGATTCAGCATGAATTTATCATGCATTTCAGAATTTACCCTGCACTTTAATAGTGATCGTCTTTATAGTTAATATACAAGTAGTCAAAATGTACTTTTAGTTTATTTGTTTGTGTGGTGATTTCCAAAGGCGATGAGTTTATAGTGTTTATTCTACATGTTTATAGCAATGTGCTTCAGCCATTTCAGCACGTTTTAAAAACAAACGTGGAATGTTGTGTGGCAGGGCTTATTTAATATAAAGATATCCCTATAACAATCCAGTGTGGATTGTTGTCTGCAAGGGCAGATTTTCATTTTATAAAAGGAGGGGTGGCCAAACATTTTCTAGTGGGGTGCAAGCAGCACCACTGAGCTTTGGCAGGGGTTAGGGTTAAAGGCTTTCACACAAAGTAGGAGGGGTGAAGTGAAATTTTGGTGGGGTCGAACACTTTATAACACCTCAGGGTGTTATACTCAGTACTAACCCCGCAGTAAATCTGCCCATGGTTGTCTGCACATATTAACTTACCAGCAGTTAGATGTAATAGCATGTCAACCGACTTTTGTACAAGGTATGACGGTTTGTAAAAATATATCTCTGAAATATGTACATTGTCAGCATAATAATGCACCAGTTAAAGTAAACTCCGAACCCCCACCCCGGACAAAGAGGGGACTTGGTGGGGATTTAGTGGCTTTTTGTCATCGAATTCTGTCCCAACCATGTCGGGAATTTGTTGGTTTTGTCATTCTGCCGAATTACGCCGGGAAGATAATGGGATTGTTAGGGGATTGTCTGCGGCCATTTTATACTATTTTGTACCGTTTTGTCCAGTGGAATCCCCTGGTTCTACTATTTTATACCATGTGACAAAGGTCAAGATGGCATGTTATATGTTAATACCGGTTAATATGTCCATCCATCCATGGAATCTATTGTCGTGGAAAGATGCGGCGGCCTGGAGATTGTCGAGGAGATATTATGCAGGAGATAAATTAGCTCTCACGACTTACAATTTCCCCCCGGGGGTGGGGCATTTTTTTTCTTTTGCTAGAAAATTTTGTCCATTATTGTGGGGCATTTGTCTGTTTTGGTAGATTATTCAAAGCCAATCCCCACCTATATCCGGGGGTGGGGGTGTCAGTGTTTACTTTGACTGGTGCATTAAGGAGTAATCCTACCGGCCCACTACATAATACATTCATATATTCACCTGGCTGTGTCACTACATTTCAGGGAAAACTATATTTTTTTGATAATGCTCACAATTTCTTTCTTATTATATAGTTTTGAAGTTCTGACTCAGTACACTCTTAATCATTACAAATGAATGGTGCCATCTGAAGATGATGTATTAAATTAAACAAAAATGACAGTTGTTCTGTGATAGGTGTAGTTTTGTATTATAGTATTTCTGTACATGAACTTGTTATTAAATTTTACATGTCCAATGGTTCATTCAAGTATTATTATTGTTGATGTATATTCATTATAGAAAGTATAGTGCTTTATAGAGATTTCGAGCACTGATAAAACTGATAATCTCACATGCAAGATAATTTATGATAATCATGTGAAAATTATCGCTTTTCTGCAAAAAATTATATCGCTTTTCAAAGACTGTCCTTTATATAGTAAACAGAAAAATACATGAATGCTTGGAAATACCAGATTTATTTCTTGTGTTCCGTGCACCCATGTATTATTCTCTATATATATTTAACAAATATAAAACATTTTCCGTGTTGATATACAGTTATATCAACACGAGTGGAAATTGGGAAAACGAGAAATTGTGTGGAAACACGACGCCCGAAGGGCGGAGTGTTTTCACACAATTTCGAGTTTTCCCAACTTCCACGAGTGTCGATATAACGATATATCAATACAGAAAAAATGTTTTACATTTGTTTTATAATATAGCAATGTCAAAAGCCCAAAGAATAAGAAAAATTTCCGTGTTTACAAGCGGCGGCAAATTTCCCGTGTTGACATGGAGTTATATCAACACGGCTCTTAGCCAATCAGCGTTCAGAATTTACAAATGCTATATTATAAATATATATATATAATATTGTACAGTATTCAGTGGCAAGCTAGTCATAGCAACTCATCATGCTATGCCCAAGTTTGTCGGTTAACCGAGTCAAATTTCCGAGTCATTGTTTAATCGATGGTCTTTGCAGTTCAATGACTTAGTACCCTAATCCTAACAATAATCCCACTCCTAACGTACCCTGACCCTATTCAACTATGAATTTTATTCAATTTCGGAGTTTGTCGGTTACTGACCAACTCAAATCCGAGTTCGAGTCAAATGTCCGAGTCACTGTTTAACTGTCTTTGTCGGTAAACTGACTTAGTACCCTAAACCTACTCCTAACCCTATTCGACTGTGAATTTTCTTCACTTTCGTCTTTTTTTTTTACGCGACTCGGGCGTTTGACTCAGGCTCGGGACTGACTCGGACTCAGATTTGACTCGGTAAATGGATTTACTCTGCTATGCCTATGCTGATAATCTTGCATCTATTTGAATGATACAAATCATTAAAAACTTGCATAGCATGACTTGTTGCTATGGCTAGCTTCAAAAGCAAGAAGTTATAAGCATTGGAGACATTGGAGGTATTCATATAAAACCACAGGTGGCCAGGCTCTGTGTAGCCTCCTGCGCAGACGCGTACGTTGTTAGTGGCCGAGGCCTCACCTAACGTCTGCTCACATTCGCTATACATTTGACTTCCCGGCAATTAACCAATCACAATCATCTACACGATAATTGGAAGATCGGCCTTCAATGACCTTCACACGCATGGGCTATATCAACAAGTCTGTCAACCTCGTACCCAGGGTCCCCGTA